GTAGTATTAAAAGTAGTAGTAGTAGCACCAGCAGTAGTATTTGAGGCATTATGTGTAGTAGTAATAGTAGTAGTAGTAGTAGTAGTAGTAGTAGTAATATAAGTAGTAGTAGTAGTAGTAGTAGTAGTAGTAGTAGTAGTAGTAATGTAAAGGAGCTAATTTCCGCTCGTCGAGGAGTGTGATTAGGGACCACTCCTTTTGGAGTGAAATTTGGACGGAATTCACCCTCAAAAGATGTAAAGTTAGCTCTTAAAAGACGATAAATTCAGTCTTTTAGACAAAAATCGGTCTTTTTGGAGTGAACGTTACATCTTTTGAGGGTGAATTCCATCCAAATTTCACTCCAAAAGGAGTGGTCCCTAATCACACCCCTCGACGAGCGGAAATAAGCTCCTTTACATTAACAGAGAGAGTAGTAGTAGAAGTAGTAGTAGCAGTAGTGGTGGTGGTGGTGGTAGTAGTAGTAGTAGTAGTAGTAGTAGTATTAGTAGTAGTAGCAGATCTAGTGGTAGTAGCTTATTACATAAGTTGAACAACAAATTATGGTGGGCGAAAAGGAATGAAGAAATGAGTACACCCACTATCCTACTTTGAGAAATCATCTCCACTTGTCTGTAACCTTTGACTATTCACATGCAACCAGAATTGATGAATTTCTAGGAACGAACTTCACCCTTCATTTCCCATCGGTCCTCGAGCGAGTTAGCATGAAGCCTTGCCTAATCAATTACGCCAATGTTCACGATTAAATGTAAACAATAATAATGATAATAATAATAATAATAAAACGGTGCTTATTCCAAATGAATTATTTATCAATAAAGCAGGATTTCCGAACATCATCCTTTTTGGTTGCAGCCATCATTCGCCTGGAATTATTTTTCTAATTTTATGATAGATTTTTTTAGCTCGAAGGTGTTATCTGGATACTCTGGATCAGTATAAGCTATTATATGCTGTTTAGGGGGCTTAATTATGACATCATTGACAGTGTGATCTTCAGTATCCTATCCTGCAAAAAAAAAAAAACATTGACAGAGTTATCTTCAGTATCCCATCCTACAAAAAAAAAGCATTGACGTGGGAGATGGTAGAATACGATTAAATCTTTTGTTGTTGTTTTACATGATTTGTTCCCTTTATATTCACAGGTGCTGTACATAGTCAGGCATTTAAAGGTAAAGACCAGTTATGGTCATGCGATTGCATTGTGAAAGAAACGTTGTGGAATCGATCAGAAAAGGTTGATCATCTAGCATCTAGCATCTGCAAGGTTCTGGAATCATCAAAATGATAAGAAATTTGGCCCATTCTTCGTAAAGTTACAAGCACTATACACAGAAAGATGTATATGGGACTACCCTATATCTCTCACAGACCATGAGAGAAACAAATTTACCAAATATATGAATTAGTAGGCAGTTTCCCGGCAATTTTTTTATCATCATGTATTAGTCAAAACATATTCTTTCACATGATTGGTAATGAGAGCTTCCATTTCATTTTTTGAAATTGGGGCATTTCCAATACTGGTCTTTACCTTTAACAAATCAATACAACATCATTATCGATATAACTCTTGTCCTTTAGCTTAAAATCATACATTTTGACACGACTTAGATGAACTTTGGATTGACTAAGGCAAGGATTAAATACTGTGATTTGTTTTAAAAAAATGTAATCTTTAGTTTTCCTACAGTCAAGAATTAGGAGAACTCATAATATGATGGTGATGATGATCATCATCATCATCGTCGTCGTCATAATAATGATAATAACAATGATAATGATAATAATCATAATGATGATAAGGTTAATACAAATAAAACAGATCACTACCACTAGCGAACACCAAATATTATGTCCCGAATTTATTTCTGTGCGATCATTTTCGACCACTAGTCGAATTCCCAAGTTACTTCAAGGAGCTTAGACATACCTCCTCGGTTACTCCAACTCAGCAATATACTGTACCTTATGCCTTACCTAAAACTCTGTCGTCTTTTAAAGCCTATCTGTACTAGTTTATTTGATGGATTATAGACCACCCTGCAAGGTCACTGACATGTGGTTATCTCTTCAAATCATCTCTCAATTGACATAAGAAAAAGAGGATCATGGGGGGCCAATAGTCACCGATTAGGCATTGTTTACTATATAGAGGGCGCAAGTAGCTATAAGTTGTGCAGTGGGGCTTTAAGCCTTTTACCTTACATCGTTGGACTAAATATTTTGAATCAAACTTGAGGAGGGTGTCGGGCCACATCCAATAAGATAAACATTTTCAAAAAAGAAGGAAAACATTGTATTGTCAAAGACTAAAGACTGAAGACTCAATTTTGGTCTATAGATTTTTTTTTTTTGCCAAAGGGTGTTAATTTTTTTGCATACATACACAAATATTTGATTAATTAGTTTTTGATTTCCCTACAAAGGACTGTTATAAAAAATTAAAAAAACATAAACCAATTTTTGAATGGGAAGGGGTCGTCTTACTTACATGTACAACCGTCTCTCATATCCACACGTGCGCAGACACACCCACACAGACACACACGCACACACGTACGTACGCGCACACCCCACCCACCTACACACACAAACATACGCCCACGCACCCTCGAGCAACGCATCTGCTATAATTATGACGAAATGTTGCTCTCTCTCTCTCTCTCTCTCTCTTTCTCTCCATCTGTCTCTCTTCCTCTACCCTCTCTTCTCTTATCTTCTCTGGTCTTCTCTTCTCTTCTTTTCTATTCTCTTCTCTAAAGAAATTTTTAAAGGGTTTTGGACAGTTTCTGTCATGTGCAGCGCACTTTCCATAACCATTGCCCAGCTTCAACATTAATATGTGTGCCAAAATAGGCCATAAAGCATAAGAAGCGCGTTGAATTCATAACAAGATTTAAAATCCTGGAGACGTCTTTTTTTTGTGTACAAGACTGAAATCTCATTATTTTGGCGGCTTGTAATTATTTGGGCGGTTAAATTACACTATAGGTATTGTGAGAGAAAGAAAATGAAGAAGAGCGATGTGACGGGAAATGAAAGGGTTTCAACTTCAAGGAGAAGAACCATGTTACATACAAAGATTACCATGGCAACTAAATATGCATTGTTATGTGTTTGTCTGATATTCACATTGAAATATGAGATATGAGACAACAAATTACAGATATGACCGAATCGTAGAAGAGATCTGGTTTCTAGAGACAATGAGGAGAATAGATAGAAGAAGTTGGTATTTGGATGTACCCCGTTTTTATTCAAAATGAATGTCAAGAGGATGCTTATGACTGTAATGCAACCTACGGGCAATTCTGTTTTTTAATAGTTGATATTTGTTTTATTTATTACAAAAATGTACGTTTACTGAGGTGAATCAGCTTTACAGAGGGTCCTTGATATCTCATTTTATGAATACCTAAACAAAATTTCTCCCCTCTCCCTCCCCTTCCCATCCTATGGATGGATATATCACCATACAACGTACAAAGTACTAAGTATCAACATAATAATTGTATGTGGTTCTGGCTTTTAATATTCAAAATAATTTATGTTCTCCTGTATACGTTCATTATTTGATACAACTTGTTCAATATGTGTACTTGGTTAATCTCATAGATTTTGTTTCCCTTTTAGAATGCGTTGTGTTGCCTGGTTTGATGTTATCTTTTATTCATTCTCATTTCGATATGAACATACAAACAATACATCATGTGAACGCAACATTACATTGATATGATTGATATGTGACAGACATAGTGTTAAATATTAAACAATAGTAAAAGAAAATGAAAATAACTGAGTGAATGACTTATCACAATGACCTAAAACAGAGTGGCGTGCCATAGATATCATTGATTTTAACCCAGATAGCCAACACAAGACTTTTACATAACTCTTTTTCTCTACAATAAATACCATCATTAACCACTAGACATTTTCATTAATTCAAAGCAAGACACTTGATGATAAGGAGAGTAACGGAATAAGTCCTGAACAGAGTGAGTATTTACAGGGTGATGTTCATACGTTAGGTATTTACAGAATGGTGTTCATATGTTACGTATTTAAAGGATGGTATTCATACATTACGTATTTACAGAGTAGTGTTCATACGTTACGTATTTAAAGGATGGTATTCATACGCTTCGTATTTACAGGGTGGTGTTCATACGTTACGTATTTAAAGGGTGGTGTTCATACGTCACGTATTTACAGAGTGGTGTTCATACGTTACGTATTTAAAGGGTGGTTTTCATACGTTACGTATTTAAAGGGTGGTGTTCATACGTTACGTATTTACAGAGTGGTGTTCATACGTTACGTATTTGGGCTATTATGTCTGTGAGTGGTCATGATCATTAGAAACGGTATAAGTGCCCCCTACAACATGAATGATGAATACAATGGCGGTCACTAAATCCTTTACTTTTTATTAATTTTGTTGAATCCTATACGTTTAAAAGCTGTGGGTATGGTAAAGATTTAAATGTTTTAAAGGTAAAGACCAGTATTGGAAACGCCCCAATTTCAAAAAATGAAATGGAAGCTCTCATTACCAATCATGTGAAAGAATATGTTTTGACTAATACATAATGACAAAAAATTTGCCGGGAAACCGCCTACTAATTCATGTATTTGGTAAATTTGTTTCTCTCATGGTCTGTGAGAGATATAGGGTAGTCCCATATACATCTTTCTGTGTATATTGCTTGTAACTTTACGAAGAATGGGCCAAATTTCTTATCATTTTGATGATTCCAGAACCTTGCAGATGCTAGATGTTAGATGATCGACCTTTTCTGATCGATTCCACAACGTTTCTTTCACAATGCAATCGCATGACCATAACTGGTCTTTACCTTTAAAGAATGTTTGTGAAGAACTGGTGCGTTTTCATAATAAATTTATATTCTTGGTGATCGATGCCCAGACATAAAATGAACTATTCGTTTATAGCGAACCATTAGATCATGGTAAAATCAGGTATTATACATGTATTTCTACAAGACAAAGGCCTCCCGTTGTACGAAATCTACACGCAAGCAAGAATAAATAAACATTCAAAGTGGTAAACCAATTCTATTAAAAACAGACTTTCTGTTTGGTAAACCTGCTTTTTATTTAATGATTTATGGAGCGCCATCGAAGAGTTCAATCAAAACCAGGCCAATCATAACATTAGATTATTGATGACATGATTTTCGTTTACAAATTTCATTTGAGATTTAAGGTGTTTTGTGTTTGATGTTAGGCGGGTCTAACTCAACCTTTCAGTTTTGACCGTGCAATTCATTTTCAAGAATACTGACATGAGCAGAAACCGCACAAAAATAACAAATTCTGATTGGCTACCGGTGTTCCAAATTGATCATTCACATACAACTTCAATAAACGTAGATTTATCGGTGATCCGACAATCTGGCGACATTTGCTTCAAAGGATTGGGTTTAGGGCTGGAATTTAGGGATAGAATTAGAGTTTTGAAGGATTTGCATGGTATTAAGGTAGGATTACAAATTATTGTTCGAACTTAACCGCTTGGGAATGAATTATTGTTGCCTGAGCAGAGTGTCGTATGATTTGTTTATCGCCATGAGAAATGTCGTCTGCTTTATCCCGTCGTGGTGACTTGTCTTGCCTGTGACGTAGTAAAGTGATGGTCACGTGATCAAGGAGTGTTCCATGTCCGAAGTAATATGAAAGACCAAAAAACAAAAACAAAAACATCCTGTCTGTTTAACGAAGGAAATATGACTGTCATGTGGACGTCAGCCGGCAAGGATCCGTCAGTTGCTCTGTAAAGATACGAAGGACAAGATAAAACACAATTAATCATGATTATCAATGATTTCAATTCAATTCAAACGAACATTTATTTTCTTCCAAACAATACAATTTATAAGTAGGAACATAAATATAATTAAAGAACTTGTATTACAAGGAAGAAGGCGCGAAACCCGAAAAGCATAGCTTGTAGTGAGTACGTACGCCCGAATACATAAATACAATTATACATTATACATTATACATTTAATAACAGTGATGGATGAAGAATGCTTAAATCCCATCAGTACTAGTGTACAGGAGGGATTAGATCTCCCTGCGAGGTCACTGGACAGGTTGTTATCTCATCAAATTGGCTCTCAATAACATAAGAAAAAGAGGATCACGGGGACCAATGGTCACCGATTATGCATTGTTTGTTATATAAAGGGCACAAGGAGCTATACGTAGTATAGTGGGACTTTAAATCGAATAATCATTTATTTTCGCAAGTTTAATTGTCAGAGGACTCAGAATAAATAAATCCTGATGAACAAGAAAAATGTTGAGCGACAGAAGATAAAGTTTGTAAATCCATTAAACTTATACTTTTAAAAAAAATTGTCTATCATGTATTGGGCTGGGATACTTTCGCATTAAAATCATCATCTCTCTCTCTCTCTCTCTTTCTCTCTTTTTTTCTCTCTCTGTCTCCCTCCCTCTCTCTCTCCCCCAACATTGTCAAGTTTCATACCATATTGTGATAACTCTTAATTTGTTGAAAACGACAGGAAAGTATAAAAGCAAACATGCACTTTTTTAATTTATGAACAGATTAATTGTCATAATTATTTTACTATTATCATGCTTTTAAATATGCAGACCCTGTTTCGTAAAACTTATCATAAATATAAACTGTCTCATTATTTTATATAATGGATATAATGCCAACATCCAAAGAAATGAAACTATTTCAGTTGCTAATAGCTTATAATAGTAATCGATTATTTAAATTTCTTCATTATCATTATTATTATTATTTTGTTGTTGTTTTGTGTTGGAGTTTTTAAAAAATATTAATAGTTAAATTAATTTAAGTTTTATTAAACAGGAGGATGATTTAACGGGACCTCGGACTCGTCCCCTTTGATACGAGGACAAGCCATCCCTCGAAATTAGTTAACGTATATTGTTTTTCCTTTGATATAACAAAAACATCCATCTACAATAATTATTGTCTCATATTTGTTTACCACACTCCATTATACAAGGCTGGGGGCAAACGAAAGATTCAGATTCATGACATCTTTGTAATATGAAATAACAAAATCCGATAAGTGGTATTAAATAACGCATAATCTTTTAGTGAGATTGCTGTCCGAAACAGAACTAGCGTAATGATCAGACGAGCATAATTATTTCGCCGCGAGGCAAATCCTTTAGCATGTTCTGTTTATAAAATGAAAGTACAACATTTAAGATGGTGTAATATTTCAACAAATGAATAACCAATGCATTGTAACCAGATAGTAGTATACCCCAAGGCCCTGAGTCGCCCTGTCTCCAATATGAGACTAGGGGTCGATGGACACCCCCCTTAATAATTTTTCATTTTCTTAAATGCATTTTTCTCTCCAGGCATGTAACCAAATTGACACGTACGTCAATGATAGGGCGGGGTTCCTCAGGCTAGTGAATACGTGTTTTTGAAGCAATAATTAGAATATCCAATTTCTAATCCACCCATTACCAAACTATATTTGGCATTTTTAATATATCTTCTTACGAATATTGCTCGCCAAATGTCAGATAATGGACAGTGTTTGAGAGAGTGGAACATAAAAATAGAGTATCTGACGTGTGTGTGTGTGTGTGTGTGTGTGTGTGTGTGTGTGTTGAAGCTGCTTGACCTTCGAAGGGGAGTGCCTGAAATGCGAAGTTTGCTACCATAATTCCATGAAAATGAGTCTCTAAAAAGTTTTGAACGATAACCCAAGCAGTCGATTGAGTATCCCCTGATCATGTTGATCAGCTAAAGGAGGGGCGCGGGGCGGGAGGGGGGGGAGAGAGAGAGAGAGAGAGAGAGAGAGAGAGAGAAAGGAGAGAAGGGGAGGGACGGGAGGGGTTGGAGAGAGAGAGAGAGAGAGAGAGAAAGAGAGAGAAAGGCAGATATACTGAGACAGAGGCCGATAGACGACACAGATAGTGGGAAAACAGAAAAATAGACAGAAAGAGAGAAATGCTCTTGGATTTATATGAGGTCTGACAAGATGTGTGGTAGTGGTGGCGGTGTATGTGTGTGTGGGGTAGGAGAGGGGGGGGGGGCAGAGCACGCTGCTGGTGTCTGGCTCAAGCATCCTCCTTTTTAAAACTCTGTATACGATGATATATATCTGTAAAGCGCTTTGAGAGGGCCTTCGGTCTTGAAAAGCGCTATAACAGAACTAGCTATTATTATATTATTATTATAAGGTGCCAATCTGAACTTCTTCAAAATAAGTCCAGATGGTTCCAAATCCATGTATATCTCATGACTTATTTTTCTCGAGATGATAATATTGATAGCGGACATCCTACGGCCTAATATCTTATTCATGGTCATACCTCTCAACGGAGTGGTCAAGATCTGTCAAAAATCGTGATGTTTTGGTTCATTCAACTGTTCATCAGGCTATACAAGTTGTCATCTTCTTTTCATTTTGATCTTCACAAGTCTTCTGATTATCAATATCCGGAAATGGTTACCCCGTAGTAAGAAATTATTTGAATGCTTGAGCACCTTCTCATGGTAGCTCGGCTAAAGCCGGGAAAGTAATAATAATAACGAGTACAGGGCCCTCAGGAAGAAAAGCATTAGTACTGATGAGGCTTCCTTGGATAAAGAAGACATATTAGCACTTTAAAACAAATTATCCCGAGATTTCCTGTGAAACTATACACAATCCTTCAAAATCATGCGAAATATTATACGTTGCACAAGCCTACAATGATGAGGAGTACGGAACTATATATATATATATATATATATATTTTTTTTTTTATTTATTGAATATCGTTAAAAATTGACCGATGCGATCAAATTTATTTTTGGTATAATATTTTTTTTTTTTTTGGGGGGGGGGGGAGGGAACCGTTTATTCTTTGCTGGCTCTTTATTGCTGCCATGCCATGCTACGCTGCGATATCTACATATTTGATTGAATTTAATTTGAATTTATTAACAACAACATAACACAATGTTACAAAATGTATTCAAGTGGGTAACAAAAATGACATGTCGTATACATATCCATGTACATGGGTTACAAAGAAAAAGAAAATATCCATAGTTGAACCATCATGTACAAATTAAGTTAAACATATACCATGTCATATCAAACCTGTGAATTAGCTTTAACTAAATATTATACGTAGATATTTGTGGCTGGAATTGAAATTCACAGAGTTCCAAGAACGTATAAGTGATTCAAATAAAGGATATTTTTAAACTTAAAAATGTAAAATGTTGTTAAAGGGAGAACCAAAAGTTAGCACGAGTGCTAGTCGGGATTGGTCCTTCGAGTTTCTAAAACTTTATGCAAAGTCATATTAATATTTATTATGTCTTAATATCATATTATTTGATCCTTATGATTCATCTCTACTTAGGAGTTTAATTCTGAGATTTTGAGGAAATGATGATCTTGTTTTTTCTTCTCTTATATTTATGGGCAAATTGATTCAACCGTTTGATTGTCTGTCCCTTATTCGCGTTATTCTGTGTCACTATTTCCTTGCCCAATATCTGGACTTAATTGAATTATTCGTTCAAGACGATAAGCACAATTGAGGGAGACAAGTGAATTTCAATCAAGAAGAGAGTCAACGTGTCGAAAATCACACTTCAAAATTTGAAACGGACACCAAATCGTGAATAAGCATGCGGACATGTGACATGCCGGTCACGAAGAACTTATGGTAACGTGACTTTACATCCCGACATCTAATCATGATATCGTCCTTGTCATGTCAACAAGAAGCCAATCATGATGAAAAGAGTTGAGAAATGCAATCTGTATTTGAAAGATAATATTATTTTCGATGACTCGTGGTTAAATTGGTAATGAAACAATGAACACGATCCAAATATGTATTAAAACAATAAGGACAAAACCCGAAAGTATCGATCAGGATAACATGGTTACTTTCAGTTCTGATGATAATTTGTAATTACAATAATATCAATTATTTGTAAAGTCTGAAACTCTGAAGATCAACCAATACAACCACTTCCTCAAAAGTGAAAATAGAAAGAAAAAGAAAAAATATCGACAAAAACCCAAGAGATTTAAAATGAACTAGAGCAGAGATATTTATTTGACCCCTTAACATAAAAATGACAGCTTTGAATCAGAAATTAAAATTCATTTTGATCTACAAGCATCAGTTAATGACATGCTGTCCGGGCTTTTTTATTCATCAATTTTTAATATTTTTTTACAAATCAATTCATTGTTTACTCATCAGTCCAAAAAATATAATTACTATTATTTTTAAATGGATGCATAATGCCCTGAGTGTTATCTGTCTAAACAATGTGAAACTCGGCATATATAACATACCAACATGGCTTATATGAACAGGGGAAAATTCAATTCAATTCATTCAATGTTACATGTATTATTTTCCAATGTATTTCAGATTTAACATTGTTAAACGATGCCTTCAAAATAAAACAGCTAACGAATAACCTTTATACTGAATGGCCTATGGCACAATGCTCTATCAAGAACGTATGGCTTCTGGAACATAATGACGGCATCCTCACGAGAGCCATCCCCAGCAGTGCCCATGACAATTTGAAACTATCATTTAAAATGAATACGTCACAATCTTTGGAGTAATTACTCGCTTACGTGACCGCCCATGATTAATGAAGGGCCAATTAAACACTCGAGGAAAACCTTCGAGTTCTGATAACCGCCAGAAATTGTGTAGGTGTAGGCGAAACTACCGCATAACATCGTAGATTAATTCCACCCCGTTTCAGCAAATAATTTCCATAATTTTAGACGCCGTGTATAATCTTTAAACAGGGAACGAATCGAGGTTACATGGAAGATATTAGCCAATCTAATCAAAGTAATCATTCGAAATCATAAATATTTTTGAGATTTAACTTTAGTCGAGGTTTAAAGGAAAATAATGACAAATAATCATTGTGGAAGCCTTGAGTGATATAGAATATAAGCTGGAAGGGAGAGAAATTGGTCAGTGAAACCTTTCTTAATCCTCAAATAAAACTACGCCCTATTTCACTTACTTCTTACTTTGCAAAACTCGCTGAATTTTGTATTATGTAAATGGTCAATGGAAGATATTACCATGCGTTTAATCCCAATCAGTATGGAAATTGGCCTGGCTTTTAAGCACTAACAACTATGTGATACCGTGCTACCTCTTCATCAAATATATGCCAACGCGGAGTAACCTAAATCTTTATCCACTTTCATACTTGCCATTTTTCTAAGGCGTTTGATCACATCGACCATAAAATGGTACAACAAATTGAATCATCTGCAAGTGAGGACATGTGTAATATCATGGATACCGAGTTTAAAATATTTTGGTCAGTTATCTAATATGAAAACAATCAATGCTGGTGTTCCGCAATGTACCAATCTTGGTCCGATTCTATTTAATGTAATGATCAATGATGCCTGTCATGATGTTAACTTACGATTTTACAAATATGTTGACGACTTAACGATTGTAGAAAGCCGAAAAGTAACATCTCAGTCTAAACTACGAAATGCACTCTCTGATCTATACCTATGGTTCGTTGAGAATAATATGACATTGAATCCGTCCAAGCGTTTTTCTACGGTTATAATATTAATATAAGAAATAAGGTAGAACAAAATTATATTTTCAATGGCGAAAAATAATTAATCTATGTTCATCAAGCCAATGTCCGGTGAACAATTTCACAATAAAAACTAAAATGGAATAGCCATGTATCCGATTTCATAAAAAGGTGCAATAGGAAGTTGTTTATGTTTCGTTGCCTTAGAAGTACGGAATGCTTCTAGAAGACCTTTTACTGATATATTAAGGAAACATTCGTTCGATCTTAGATTATGGGGTACCGATTTACAATGGTAATTTAATAAAGACCCATTTATCTACTTTAGAACGTATTCAGAAACGAGCTTGCAAAATCAATTTAGGACGTCAGTATGAAAGTAATAAAGCAGCATTGGAAACGTGCAATCTACTTTTACTAAAAGCAAGACCTGAGCACTTATGTATAGACTTGCCAAACACCCACAATTTAAAGAATGTTTACCTCTTATACAACAAAGCGCTTATCCTCTAAGATTTCAATCAAAGTTAATACAATACCAATGTAAAACCAAACGCTTCCAGTGCAGCGCCCTTACATACTTTATAAATCTTCGTAATAAAATGTAATACTTACAAAAAGTTTCAACTATTTGATCATTCTCATTTCTATCATCATTATTTATTGTAGGAGAAGTAGACTTTGGATCGTGAGATATAGCAATGGGAAACATATAAAGTTGAAGACCAAAGTAGAATTGTTTGAAAGCGTGTAGATTTAAGGTTGACCAAAGCCAGAGTACACAAACATTTAAGACATTTCATGCATGGTAAATGTAATTATTATGATTATCTTCGATTTCTTCTCCGTAAATCTGTGATATATCTTTTGTATAGGTGGTAACCTATCGGATTGTGAAAGGGACAATTAGCATGTGGGGCAAGAAAGAATTGAGATAGAATAGAGAGCAGAGTAGAAAAAAATGAAAACGTAAGAATATCAACAGAAAATAGGAAACATTGACCATTGACTTTTGAAAAAAAAGTTACAACTGCACCTGCACCCAGTTCATATTTGTTGAAAGATTTAGCCCCTCAGGGTTGTTCCTTCCGTTTGCTGACCCAATTCCGTTTTAATATTGTTCACCGCTAACGAGTTTAGGGCCAGGGGCGGACCCAGTATATTGTTTGATAAAAAAATGGAAAATTCCGAGAAAAAAATCTCTGATCAAGCAAACACGTGATCGAATGAGTTTCATTTGGGTGTAGTTTTTTTTTAAGGGGCGAGATTACAAAATAAGGGGTATATTCTTCTTTGGCGTAGATCTACTTAATGCGAGGTTTGGTAAAGAGGTTTTAGGCCCGTTGTACCCGGCGTTGTACCCCCCCCCCCCCCCCTCCATCTACTATGATTGTTTGTACCTAAACCCCGTACTTAAGGATCCGTGAGAGATATCTTTCATCAATAGGATTGGTTTTTATGTATGAATTGTCGAAAATTACGCATTTATAAAATGGTCTCTATATCATGATATGTCCTTTCCTCAAAAAGGAATGTTGAAATCACGTATTTCTACAGCAACTTAAAGCCCTATGTGAATGTATCCGGAAATGTATAGTTTCGTTTATCGTTTTGCAATAAATCAGCGTAGAGTGCTAGTTTGGACTCTCGATTGCTAATGATCTACAAACGGAATGTAGTTGTCTGCTCGTCGCTAGCTTGTTTGCTCTTACTTTATCACTTCAAGATTCGCCATGCCCCATATAATAATGACCTTTATGCATCACGCGTTTCGCTGATGGCCGGTGAAGGAAACGATTGAACGTAGAAGTTCAAGGAATTTTTTTAAAGTCCAACTTTGTGTTATCGATGATCGTTTGTGCTCTCTGGCCTTGATTGATTTCAAAATTCAAACCTCCGGGCCAATCACTGAATACTAGTACAACTGTACAAAGTGGCCATGATGACGATAATGGACAACTAGTATTACTGGATAAGACATAAGACTTGATTAGCTTTAGGTGATGAAGGGAATAGACTCCATACTGACTTTCTCCAGCAGGTGATTAATTGACCATGGTTGTTTTTTTGTAATAATAATAATTATCCTTGCTTATATAGCGCCTAACACTTCCTTTATCAGAAGTCTCTAAGCGCGCTCTACAATAATGCAGCATAATTACCATTGCTTTAGCAGTGCAGCTGTTACATGCGCTGCGTTTCAAGGAATAAATTCCTACCAGGTACCCATTTACTTCACCTGGGTGGAGTGTGGCAAATGTTGATAATGTCTTGCCAAAGGACATTAGTGCGGCGGCGGGAATCGAACCGCGGACTTTGTGATCGACAGTCCGGCGACGTATCCACTCAACCACAACCCCTCTACACCTTGTATTGCAGGTGGGAGGATGGCTCACCTGATGACCAGTGGTCTAAGTAACTGGAAGGACCCGGGTTCAAAACCAAGTGGATTTGCTAGTTAACCATGGCCCTCGGAGGGGACTTATAGCCGTCCGTCCCCTGGCTGTTTATTACAAGAGTCATGCTTTCTTAGCATTTATGGAAAATAAACCAATCATAAATTATGGTCACGTATGCAAAGTTTAGAATTAAATATTTACTTTTGCAAAGGAACTAAAAGTATCAATGATACAAATGTTTTTGTAATAATCGTACATTCTTTTTCCAAGGAGTATTTGTTGAAAAGGTTGATTAGCTTGATTATGAAATTCTATCATAAATGTAAAAACTTGCCAGCAAAAGTCGTTAAATTCTAAGTACAAACCTCCCCGCGTAAGTATTTGTATGATATGCATGTAATGGAAGTAGATGGCTGTGGATGAACAGATACAATTAGGAACTAAATTCTTCATACCCTTTGTAAATTTGATTATGTGTGTGTGTGTGTTTGTATGTTTCGTAACTCAAGATGCTAACAGAGAAAAGACTAACTTGTTCAAGAACGAGCACGATGCCGTCCTTACCATTTTTATTTATCACAGGGTACTTTCTAAAGCAGACATGTTTTTATTAATTCCAAGGATATGGTGTGTAATTTTAATAACTATGAAATAAATACTCTCTGTCGTGAAAATACCACATTTGCCTATTTTGGGATATTTTTTCCCCACGATAGGGACACATCTACATTTTTAAATGTACACCGCCAGACCGACCGACTCTTGACTATTCGGGGTACGGTATTACCCCCCCCCCAAATAGTAGTTCTGTTTGTTGTTCATCTCGTTTGTGCAAATGGGTTATTTAAGCTCAGTCACACCACCAAACCGACTTCCAACCTACCGATCCTTTGCCGTTGAAGGTTATGTAATATTTAATTCGGTCACATAATTTAACGCTCGTTCCTCTCCCACCGCCACCGCGACTCCCACCCATCCTCCTACTTTTAGGAGTCACTCAACTTTCACTGGTTAAAGGCACTGTTTAACGATGTTTCCAGTTTTACAAATCTGAGATGCGCGGCCCTACGTTTTATCAGTGTCTGTGATATGGTGTAATATTGAAGTCCTAACAAAAATACGCTTCAAAATGGTCATGAAGTGCATCAAAAAAGTTAAAATCTTTGAGTGACCGGTTTTACCATACTAATTTTCCCAAATAGACTGTAGTGTTATGGAAATCGTTGGGAAAACCGTTTTTGACATTTCCAATTCCAATCATAAATATCTTGATAATTAGACAGGCGATCGGCCTTGTAAAAGTCATGGAATACCTGACTAACCTAAAGGTTTATAATCATGATTGCAGCATGAGCTAAATCCAAGATTTTCCTTTAAAAACTGAGGCAAATATACTAATCCCTTTAAGATTCAAAACATATTCTTTCACATGATTGGTAATAAGAGCTTCCATTCATTTTTTTTAAGGGCGTTTCCAGAAATGGTCTTTACCTTTAACTAACTTACCCTGGTGTTTCTGCATAGTCGCCACGTGTTTCGGATGACATCCATGCAAAACCTTAGCTTTCTACCCGATCTGCTCCTCTTGGATGCAACCATTGGGTAGGTCTCATCTTCCCCCGATGCATACTCTGAGGAGGAGGACTGTAAGTTCGAGAGCAATCGTATAAGAGCTGTCTCCTGAAAAGAAAACATAGAAATATTAAGAAAACTATGATAAAAATGCTGTGAATACAACAAAAAGCATGTGGAGACGAATGTAGAATTCTTGAAACATTGTGGAGAAATAAACAAATTCCTAGAACATGGCAAGTTGAAATTATTAAAACAATTCTGTAGAATCTGATATTATGTGTTATTTCCCTTATTGTGGGGGTGCTTAACACATGTATTTCCACCAACTCATTTCATAGTAATACAAATCTCATTCTTTCCATATCAAGGTAATGCTTGAATGACAGTTGCCATGGTAATGCCTGTAATTCAGAAACAAAAAATTAAAAATGGGGATTAAATGGGGATGATGGGGATTCAAATTGAAACCACATAACACTCCAATGTATGCAAAAGTTAGATTACCAACCTGTTCTTGATCCTTTTAAGTCAAATTTATACCAGAACATTGTCGTTTCTATGGCAATGACAAGATAGATATGTGTATGTTGAGATAAAATAAAGTTTTTCTGTATATAAACGAACTAAAATACAAAACTAATGTCAAAATTGAAAGATTTGTATTCAATCTAGTTGAGATCTTTTAAGATACCGGTCAGGATGGTTTGGAAAAGCATGACAGAATAGTCGCTCTAAGAAGGTGACTACTAAGAAGCCGGCCGCCCACCCACCCACCGGCTGCCGAGATGGTTGCTACAGCAATCACCGAGTTGAAGGACCGCAATGGCTCCTCGCTGCAAGCAATAAAAAACATGAAAAACTAGGTATAATAACTTAAGGGATCGTTTAACAATGTTAGATCTGAGATGCATGACCCTACGTGTTATCATTGTCTGTGATACGGTGTAATATTGAAGCCCTAACAAATTTGCGCTTCAAAATGATCAAGAAGTGCCTAAAAAAAGTAACAAATCTTTGAGTGACCGGTTTTACCATACTCGTTTTCCCAAATAGACTGTAGTGTTATGAAAACCGTTTGGCAAACGGTTTTCAAAATTTGTAATTCCAATCATAAATATCTTGGTAATCAGACAGGCGATTGGCTTGTAAAAGTCATGGGGTTCCTGACTGACCTAAAGGTTTATAATTATCACTGCAGCATGAAGTAAATCCAGAATTTTGTTTCAGAATCTAAGACAAAGTTACCGGATCCCTTTAAGAGTATTTTTGTATAAAAAAACCCGCACACATTCCACATGATAATCGAATATGTTCTCTTCCAAGAATACTTGGCTATCATAATCTGCCTCTGGATCAATACAATTAATTGGTTTGGAGTGAAAATGGCAGAGGCATTGTCATGGTAACGGTGAATTAATATAAACATTACAAAAAAGAAATGTAAACTAGAGAACATAATATCAGCATGAGATGACAAATAAAAGTGTCTTTTTTTCAAGCTACATGTTTGAATGCATCCACGGTCTGAGTTATACGAGGTTATAGTTGTGTATAACAGTGGCTGTTGTCAGGGTAATACCTGAATTTATTGAAAATCAGGGAAAACTTATGAAAAAAATATACCACGACTCCTCTACATAAAAGGGGATTTTGAATGAGTGGACGAGAACGGCGTGAACGTCCACTGATCATGCGTGTCCATGGCAAGCCGTTTTAACATTTATTCCTATTTCTTGATATCAAGAATTGGATTCTTGATATCGAGAAAAGATTTTCTGTTGTAAAGCGATGGTAATTTTTGATATCAAGAAAAAGGAATAAATGTTAGGGGGACGGCTTGTTATAGACACGCATGATTAGTGGACGTTCACGTCGTTCTCGTCCACTCAATCTAAAAGTCCATATGAACATACCATTCACCATCAACAAATGCTCCCTATTAGGCATGTCCAACTATTACACCACGCCTGAACCACGTGAACTTTTGGTTCTGTATAAGCAACGTGATAATACCTTTGTGATTAATGAGGCAATCCTTGCAGCAATATTCGGCTCAAATTTACTAAATCTTATGCATTTCGTAACCAAGATGCATCTTTAATTTCTGTAATAGTGCCGAAAGTTTAATCTGTAAAATGTCAAAGCAGTCAATTATAAAGATATATTTATTTGACAAGGGAATAAAGAGTTATGTCCGAATTTAAAAATCCCGGCAGTCGGGAGTCATGACTGACAGTCTCATTACCAATTACTTTTCGATTAGCTTATAAATACGTTGAAGAACGCAAACCCAATCTCGGTCAAAAATTATAAAATATATGGTAGCATAAAAATTATGACGTTAATTAAACCAGACCGGATTCTGTTGCAATTAGTCAGCCTTATTTGAGGACTGTTAGACCTTTTGGGATGAATAATGAATAGAAATTGGCAGGAAGGGATTTTTAATTGCCAAAATTATGAACACAAAAAAGGGGAAAGGAATGAGACAAAATCAAGACGGGGGATACTTGGAGACGATATATTATACAATGTATAATTCAAATTAAACTGCAATTAACTAATGTCGAATTTGATGAACAGAGAGAACAGACACAACATAATTTGTTTGACTTTGTGTACATTATTTCAACTATTGTTTGATATCTACTTGTATTTGTATTTGTATTTGAAATCCAATCACAAGTTTTGGTGGCAATAAAGACATAATTATTATTTAGAAAAATGTAAGAAGTTAATTATTAGGACAAGAAATTCCCTTGATTTATTGAGTATCATTGATTCTATGCCTTATCAGGGCCACGAAGACGAAGAAGACAATCTTGGGCTGATTGGTTATACCTTGGGTCAAACTATATTTTATTGAATTAGGATCTACTTCATCTAAATTTGATGAGTGATGTTTAACATAATATCAAGTGCACTTTACTTGAATATGCAATCTAAATGTACACGTCCATTTCAGTGATAGCGAGTGACTAATGGAGGGAGGGAAGGAGAAAGAGAGAAGGGTAGACAGAGAGAAAGAGAAGGGAGAGAATCTGAGCGAAAGTGTGAGTGTGTGTATGTGTGCGGTGCGTGTGTGCGGTGCGTGTGTGCGCGTGCGTGTGCGTGTGTGTGTGTGAGAGAGAGAGAGAGAGAGAGAGAGTTGAGGGGGAGACGGAGAGAAAAAAAGAGAGGTGGAGAGAAAGAGATAAAGAGAAAGAAAGAGAAATAAAAAGAGAGAGAGAGAGAAAGAAGGAAAGTGAGGGATACGAGGATAAGACAACGACTTTGAAGCTTATCGCATTTGCATAGTTATTGGCAGAGGCTAGTCACTCTTGTCACTAGATAAAGGCAAATGAAGAACAAATACTATGACAAGAGGAAGAATATGCAAAAAGCCTTCATCTAATCTCAGAGCCATCTCGGGAGAGAGGCTATCAATGTACAAACTCTCTCGATCCTTGACTTTTCATCCAACATTGTCCTATCACATGACCCGGTGTTGCGCATGAGCAGATAGACAAGCCAATGTCATTGTGACTCGTTTAACTCCACTGAGATGAAGTAGCACTAGTGGTTCATCACCATCACAACCAATACTAGATTTTAAAATATCGTGGATTTGAAACTTTTAGAATTGCACACTGAAGGTGGAATTGCTGTTTCCATGGGCATTTCTTATTGGTTAATCTCGAATGCATACAATGGGTTTCTTTTTACATGTTTGGAGGTCAAATGAAACATCAACTAATTTTGAATTCAATGCCTCACACGAGTAGCTGAGTGACAAGATGTGATGAAGGGCAAAATAATTATCGGGCAAAATATCTGACAGGCAAAATAATGATACACAATAAAAACACAAAAGAAAATCGCATGATAATTTACCAAAGGGCAGGAATTAATGCCAACATACCTGACGCGCAAAACAATAGTGGCCTCCTACTTTTTCAGAAAGCTGGCTTCGTCCTATAATTGCGATGCCTCGTGTTTCCCTTCCAAAGTAGGTTCGATGCTACTAGGTTCACGCGAATGTACATTAACTTTAAGTTTAGGTGGTAGATTCAGTTTACTAAGTTATCTTCAACTTTTAGGGACCGTGTTGACGCCCTAGTGATTACGAAAACCGGCAGATAAAGAGAAGGTTGAGTTCGGAGAAGAGGTGAAAAATAATGTGTGAGCGTTATCATTGTATTATGCGAGTGCGGAAGAACATCAGATACACATGTTCCCTGGAAAGCATGGCTCTCCAAATGCCTTAATATTCTAAATATTGCATGTAACATCATAACAATCGGGACGGATTTTTATGTCACATGTTCGTGTAGTCCCATATACATCTTTCTGTGTACAGTACTTGCAACTTTACGAAGACTTGGCCAAATTTCTTATCATTTTGATTATTCCAGAACCTTGCAATACACACAAATTCTTATATGCTAGATGATCAACCTTTTCTGGTCGATACCACACTGTTTCTTTCACTATGCAATCGCATGACCAGAACTCAACTTCATGAAGTAGATACAATTTCGTAGCACTAGTGGTTCATCACCATCACAACCAAGGTGGAATTACTGTTTCCATGGGTTTTCTTTTTGCATGTTTAGAGGTCAAATAAAACATAAATTAATTGGGAATTGAAATGCCTTACACGGGTATTACACATGAGCTGAGCGACAGGATTATAATCAAGGGCACAATTATTTGGCAAAATATCTGACATGCAAAAGAATAATACAAAACTAATAACACATAAGAAAATGGCATGATAGTTATCGGAAATTTACCAAGGGTAATAATAAATGTGCCAATAGATCTGACGAGCAAAACAAAACGGGCCTCCTTCTTGTACAGAATATGATGATGCTAGCTTCGTCCTATACTTGATTTGTCCCTCGTTTTCCTTCCAAAGTAGGTTCGATGCTACAGGTTCACGCGACTATCCAGCAACATTAAGTTTAGGCCGTAGATTAAGTTTAGTTTGAGTTATCTTGTACTTTTAGGGACCGTGTAGACGCACTCGTGGTAATACGGAAACCGATAGTTAACACGAAATTAAACCACGATGTGGAGGAACATGATTTGCTTCGAGGTTAATTACGCCAGCTTGTACTTATACTTTGAATAATAATTGTTTCGATCCCGTGTGAACCCTTGTCGTTGTAAGTGGATCATAGTTTATAACTTCGAGGTTCCGCACACCTTAAGTTTAAAACTAAGACGATTTCGTGCGAACATAGTGGAATATCCATATTTCCCGGGTAAATCAATATCTCTGACAAAAATACACGGTAATACAACATGATAAACCCCAACAATGATACCAAATTCATCAACTTGAATCCAATAAAGAGATAAAATATCGAGCCATGGATGAGTGAAGATTGTGCTTTGGGAGGGGGCACACCCCCTGAACAAATGCGACGGGGGCAGTTTATTCTGATCACGAGGGCATATCCCCACCTCAAATCATATCAGTTGACCTTGAAACAAGGGGGACACCCCCTCAGCCTTCCCGTGATCCCGTCTGTTCCTTGGTGGATATTTAATACTTAGCTCTTTTATCCTCGGGACACCTAGGTATAGTATTCCGGTTTAAGCATTATGTTGGGGCAACGTATTAAATGATCATAATTATTTCAACGAATTAATATCAGGAAATATCGATTTATTTCCAAACAGAATGTGTCTCCTAGCAAAACGCATACGTAGGAAAGTGGTGATACATCTCTGTAGTTTAATACCTTGCAGTATTAACGGTCGATTGGGAAATAGCAACTCGGGACACCAAACGATCTTCATTTAATATCTGCTATCAAGTAAATAGAGATACATAATTTGATTTGATCTCATTTAAACATGTGATTAAGTGCTTTGTTATGAATATCTATGTACTACAATGTTATCCATGATTTTATCTATATAAAGATTTATTTAAAAAAACAACGAAATCTTCATTTTGTGGTCATGCTCTTGGTGCTAAATAAACACCTAATATAAAATATAATCCATTTGCCTTAAGGGAAAGCTCGGGGAAAGTAACGAATAAATGTGGTTGAAACTTCCGTTGACACTCGGGTGTCGTGTCAGGCATTTCCAGGTGTAAAAAAGAAAGGGGTCTGCACAATGAGGCTAAAAGTAATAGGTAGCAACTATTTCATAGATCTATAAAATTCCGATTGGATTTTTTTTTCTTACAATAGTAATTATGTGAAGAATAAGAACATTCAACCATTTTTGTCAAATCAATCCTACCCTATACCATAAGCAAAAATAACTGTGTGACTTCACTTTTACCACATACTTGACTTTGTATGTGCAAAGAGGTGAAAGCGACCGAGTCCAAGAGTTATACAGTGCGTCCCAGAAAAAAACAAAACCGAGAATTGTCGATGATTCATCATAACTTAATCACAATCATAATTAATAAATGACATATATGTTTAAAGCTTATATCTCCTCTTTCATTTGATGCATCTCATATGATGCACATCTCACGCATGAGTGATTAAAACAATTTGAAGAGAGGAAACGAAAAAGTCATTTGGCGGGCGGCAGCTGAATTTCAAGGGGAAAATCACATTGCTAGAAAGTTCAATTTATGCCCTTTCATATGACACCTCAATCAGGAGAAATGAGCCAGGAATAACAATGTTCTGTTTGTTTAAAGTAGTGCTTGCATTTCCATGATTTGATTAAACGAGTTCGTTTTCACTGGCTGCCTGCCGTAGCAACAAACAGAGTTGACAAAAGATGTACCTCCGTTTCGTTGACTGACGATCAGCCATGCATCAAGTCTTTCGCCTTCTTAAGTTATGATAAAACATCGATAATTCTCGGTTTCGTTTTTCTGGGACGCACTGTAGAATGAGGTTTTCTGGGTAAAATCGGGTCAAGAGAAGCAGCTATAGAGAGTCATTGATCATTCGTTTGTGGGGTTAAGTTCTTAGTTTAAAAAATAGGAGGAAATTGCTTTCTTTTAAAAATGGTTCCTTCCTTCCTAGTCTGACTTGTTTTCATCTCCGCTATTTGCATGTATATCATTCATATTTGTATGCCCACGCAGCAAATAATATCGTTGAATGATTGAGCGTCAACCCACAATGCAAATAGACGGGGCACAGCCACCCCTAAAATAGAGTACTTAGTATCTGGCAAAAACCTCAAATTGCAAATTGAGAGGAGTTTATCAAGTATTAAAATGATTCGATATTTAGATATTTAGAGCTGTCTCCGACTCGAAATAAACCCCATTCAGATGTCACTCTCTAGCAAGCCATATCTCAATCTGTTTAAAATTAATAGCCAATTATAATTATGAGGTGATCGCACAGGTTGATGTCCAGATCGGGATAAGGTATTGCATCTTCAAGTCTGTCTGTCAACTTCTTTATCCTATTATTTTCCTTCTTTCCCGACGATGTGGCTTTCAAATTAAGTATTTTCTTTCACAAATAATTTGTAGAGGAATACAACTAGTTCCTTCTTAGAACTACTCACCTCACTCTTCAATTTGTTTTGATCTGCACGCAACCTTCTCGACCTTTCTACCTTTCTTCCTTTCTTTTCCTATTTCCATTACACCTAATTTTTGATGTACAAACGCCGTAGAGATGATTCCCCAAAAGGGGTACGCCCCTCCCCTTGAATGCGCCATTCTTATAATTTCCTCTCTTTTAAGAGTTCCTTAACCTTTTAGAAACAAAAACGGGAAGGCGATTCGATCGCATAATGAAATTCAGTGTTTTGCAAGTTTGTATCAAATTCAGTTAAATGCAAAGTACACTGACCATTGATTTAAAATATGTAGACAATACTGATTATTATCTTCACAATGTGAAATAACATCAACATCTCACTGTAATTCAATGCGGAATTCATCGCCCTTTGTTTGCATCACTATCCAAGAAGCCTAAAATATCATCTTTTGACGCATTGTGCAGTGCTGAGTAAATGTCATCGTCGTTTAATGGAATCACAACAGGCAACAGTCTTAAGAAGCACATGAGGCCGGGGAGTCGATGTTAAGAGCAAAGTAAACAGTCTTAGTTCCCTCCCTCCTCCTTCATTGTGCCCCCCTTCCGCCTCAACAGCCATGGTAGCTTTTCAACAATCCTTATTCTATGTATTATTATTACCCTATGAATTCCAGACATTTAGTAAGGCAAGACAATTATAATTAATTCTATCTTGCATCTTTCGGTCTGTGACAAAATGAATAAGCATGTATTTTTAGAAACTTTTCAGTGTGTCCTTGTCATTATCCTCCTCCTCCTCCTTATCATCATCCTCATCATCATCATTATCTTCCACGTCATCATCATCATCATCTTCGTAACGATGGCGATGAGGATGACGGCGATGACGATAGTGACGGGGATGTTATCAATTCTTACCTGTAATGGTAATAGGTCAATGTCGTTACTGAAACCGTCGATCATGTGACCTGTACGGTCACCTCTGACCTCTTGAGGGAAAGCCCCCGTTGACGTCACAGCCATCAGAACGGAGAGACTTAGAATGAAAACGGTCAAGGTCAACTGATGGGGCTCCATTTCTAACCAGATAGGAAAGAAGAAAATTGGGAGCAAAAGATAAAGAATAAATCATGTATCAGTTTATTAATCATGGTGGCTCAGTGGTTAGAGCGCCCGCCTCATGAACAGGAGGTCATGGGTTCGAACCCCGGCCGAGTGATACCAAAGACTTGTAACAATGGGACCTTCTGCCTTCTAGCTAGGCGCTCAGCACATTAGATTGGAGAAGGGTAGTAATAACATATTATGTTATGCAGGGCCCGCTGGAAGAACAGTTTCATAACTGAAGTGGCTACCCTGGGTAAATAAAACGTTATTATTATTATTATTATTTATTTGTAATGCTAGTTATTTGATACTAAAAAGCGTTCGGAAAATTGCAAAATGTGGTTTTTAAGAAACTGACGAAGTTAGTAATGATGAATTTCTTAGAAGAGCTGGAGTGCAAAGGAAAATAATACATGAGATGTTGATTAGGAAGTTAAAGTTTATGGACCACATTACACAGAAGGCCTAGCGAATCTTGCTTTGACAGGGAAAACTGTGGGAAGGATTAGTAGGTGAAGAAGGAGGATACTTTGGATGGACAGTCTGCAGAAATTGTCAGAAGAGAGAGAGGAGTGAAAGAACTGGGAGTGGTTCTATTAGAGAAGGCTAGGAGCCGAGGGTTGTGGAACAGCAGGATCGCCAAAGTCAATCGATATGGCACTTAGAGAGATGTGGAGAGTAATTTCAAGTCAAATATTTGATTTATTATCCAGATTCGAAATGTTAAGGTGATATGCAAGAAACATACATATATACAGATAATGGAAAGAATTACACTACAGTCAATCACATACGACAATTTAAGACAAATATACAAACAAAAATTTAAAAAATTACATGAAATTCACAATCTCAATTCATTTTCGTTGGTTAACATGTTTTAAGCTAGATTGCTTTTTTTAATGGCTTCTTTCCATTCAATTTCCTTCAATTATACTGAATTAGGATTCGAACAAAATCGAGATTGGTTTTATATGATTACCCTGAATAATAAGGCACAAAGTAATACAAGAAATATAACCATATATATATATATATATATATATATATATATATATATATATATATATATCTCTACCTTCGATAATGAATGTTGTTTAATTGAATTTTTCTTTTATTGAAGCCGCAACTTGAAATCCACAAATTTCCTAGGCTTTAAACCTGATTAATGGACTTGTCGAATATTAAAAAGGACTTTGAGTACATAGTGGGGAAAAGGAATGGTAAAATTACACGTAATCCCTATCATGGAAATAATCTTGAAACCAACATTATTGAATTTTGATAAAAATGATAATATCATAGCTTTTTAAGCAAAATCTCAAACGAAACAAAAATCGAACGCTTTTTTCTAATATAAGCGTTACAATACCTACTACCTGTACATACCCATTGTCTAAATGTTTACAAACGTCTTCTGTGAGAGATACAGATTGCAGTCAAAGTCGAATGTTTCAGTCGGAAGCCGTGTTGGTTATAACATAGAGGCACCATTTTACATGGTTGATGAAATACAAATTTACAAGGCAAATCAATAATGGGTGGGGTGGAAGGGCGTCCACTCGTCGTCTTCTTGTGTTTATTTCATTCCCTTCACCTCTAGTTTCTCCCTTTTCTCTTTTTGTATATATAGTTTTTTGTTTAGTCGTGCAATGGGGAAAGGGGGTTGCCCAACGCCCCCCCCCCCCCGTAGCTACGCCACCTGTACGTGACATGACAATCCCGGAACTCTATAAATACCTTCATGTAAGCCAGAGAGGCATCGAAACATCGAATTCAGATTAGAAATACAAGACTCTTTTCTCCTTTGTGGTCGCACTTTGTGGTAGCTTTACAGATTATGTTCTGAGTAATCTATACAAGGCGGGATACGCTGGGAGTTTGAACTTTACTGGTTCATTCAGGTAGATATGGTAAATCGCGCCCTTTTTTCCTTCAAAATCTATAGGAGAATTGCAACTGCGCACACTAGGGACTCGTTTCACAAAGCCTTTTTTCGATGACAAATGACAAAAATCAGTGACAAATCTACTGATAACCAATTAGAAGCAAGGATTTCACTAGCGTATCAACAAAAACTGTAATTTGTCACGGATGACAAGTTTTATGAAATGGGGCCAAAAGTCCTACGCGTATTCCCTGAGTTCTCATTTATAAGGTACAAACATGACTGTGACGCGTATTAAACCTACGTCAGTAAAATAATAAAAAGTAGTTATGTTTGAAGAAAAAATGCTTTAGTATACTGCGTCATACCTGAAAGGCGCTTAATACATAATGCCCGAATTATGGTTTAACACGATTTACTCCAGTATTGCACTGTTACATCCTCTCTTACATCCAAACTGTAAGTTCTTTTCTATCCCAAGTCTCTTTTTGCTCATCATGCGGTTTTATTTCAATATAATTCACACGGTTTTTTCTTTCTTCAGTTAACTGTGGTTAAAAAATATTTAAAAAAGAGGAAGATTTTTTAATATTTTTTTTATTACTGATGTCAAGTAAAATACGTTAAAATATCATTAATATACAGTCAAAATATTCGAATGCGTAGCAATATATACATATGAACATAATTGTGTACATGTATATATTTCAATTGTGTCACACAAAATCGTCCATTTGTGTGATATATTTATTTACATATATATATATATATATATAATTCTGGGTGGGGGTGATACATGCCTAAAATTACTGACAGGTAAAACAAAAAACAACGACAGAAAGAGGCCTTAACTTGTTCCGTTCCTTATTTCTGTCTAAAAGCCATCTGACGAAAAGACAGCGAGAGAGAGAGAGAGAGAGAGAGAGAGAGTGAGAGAGGGAGAGAGAAGAAAAAAAGTGGACGACACTTGCGTATACCCTAGTATCGACTCGTATTTGACAATCAAAGCACAATAAAAGAAAGCTGTATTACAAATCTTTAAAAATCCCAAGGCATTCACCTTTCCAATTCGGATTCAACTAATAAGAAGAAGAAAAATAGAATCCGTAACAAACACACCTTAAAGAAAAGCAGACCGATTGCATTGTCTAATCCCGAGAGGAATGTAATACGAATAAAAAGGATTGCGATACTTCGTAAAATGAGTTGTATCTAGCAGTCATTTAATGAGATTATTTTATATTAATCAGTGGAGAATCGTTGAAACGTTATCGTTGATGTTAGGCCCTCAAGACTGATTTCACAAGATGATGCAATAATGCAAAACAATCATTATTAAATTCGAGTAATGTACGGTCGTAATTACAGCTTCTAGCCAGTTTACAGTTTTTGATTAGCTGAAGAAAATAATATGCCAGTTTTCTTTAAAACGAAGTATTAGCTGGCAAGTAGTAAAGGAACTTTTTCATTATTCTGTATGATGATTTTTTTTTCTCGCTTTTAAAGAACAATATTAAACTAATTGAGACTTGATTAATAATAAAGATTTCATGGTTGTGACTTTAATACCATCCATATGACTGTGTTATCAACTTGCGTACCGTTTACGCAATAGATTGTATTGACTTTTTTGTTTAATACATTAATATTTTTCATATCGAAACGAAGATTACACTCTATTGGTGCTATGAATACTGTCAATATTTGTTCAGAGATTTTAAAAACACCGCTGTTAGTATGTTTAAATTGGAGGATTCACACTAATTGAAATTCCATAGGTTACCCCCAGAACGTTGAAGTGTAAAAATCATTTGTAACTTGGTCTTTAGCATAAGTGGCGCAGGGGGTATCGAACCGCGAACCATGTGATCCACAATGCGGTGACGTTTCCACTAGACCCTGACACATGTCTTATAAGACATACTTCGGTATGAGGCTTTGATATTAAGATTTCTTTATGGAAATGTAATATTTTGTTCCTAATTTAAAGCGTGGGCATCCAAATCACAAGGATTATCATTATTTCGAATCGCAAACCCTAATGTATAGCTATTATTATTGCTTTTCTAGGTTATTTTGTTTGTCCACGGCCGTGCAGGCTTTAAACAGGGGCGTAGACAGACGCGAACTATCGGGGCACGTGTTCATCAATCGCATGGCAAAAAGGGGTAAAAAAAAAAGACAGAAATGGAGAGTGCAACGATATCCTTTGCAATATACTTGACGAGACACAAACATTGAATAGACTAGGTAAGAATATTGAGCAGCGGCATACCCAATATTTTTTTTCGGTGGGATGGGCACCGGATTTTTTGCTTATGAAGCTTTTTAACATATTCAAATTTGACATTTTGATGCAGTACAGTACTTATGCACTGTTTAGTATTAAAGAATACAATTATGGTTTTCCGCTATTGTGTGCATATTTTATTTGTATTATTATTTTTTATTTGTAGAGGAACCTGGGAGCACCAGAAATTCGAGGGGGGGGGGGGGCATTCGACGCCGGGCTCTCCCCTTGGCTAAGTCGGTGATGTTGAGAACTGTTCAGCAACTTTATCGTGAGAGGAATTTGTACCTAGAAGGTTATTCTGGATGGCACTTCGTTCTAAAATGGAACACCCCTCATCTCCCAACGCGATCCAAGTCTAGCGTCACAAGAAACTGATATGACCTTTCCATTTCGTTGTTTTCATGGAGGCCTTTTTTTGACCGATGAGGTTTTGTATGTCAAGTCGTTATTAACATTTAAACTTTCAAGATTATTCTCTCATGCAGACATGGTCAGAAACTAGATCTGCTCTGTACAAGACAGAGAGGATCCTCACTGAAGATATATTTAGGCTGTCCAAGTGATTACAAAGAAACAAAATATTCAGGTTTAGCCAAAAGTACCGAATCTAGGTGAGAAATATAATATATTTTCCCTGTGACGTCATCATCATCGCACTATTAGGTGGTGTTTCTAGCATAAAACGGTGTTAGGTTAGGTTGCTGGATGCAACCTTTCCTGTTTGCCCCGGTCACTTAAAAAATAACGTAATTAACAAATCCGAATAAAAAAGAAGAAACAAATCACACATA